TTGCAATTGGGTGACAGAGAGGTATCAAATTAGAGGTTCTCTTGGCAGCCATGATTCCTGCGATACGGGCAACTCCCAGTACATCGCCTTTCTTAACTCGGTTTTTACGTATGAGTGGAATGGCTACTTTGTTGGAGAAGTGAATACTGCAGACAGCGACAGCAGTTCTTTTCGTTGGTTGTTTGGAGGAGATGGAAACCATGTGGGCATCGCCGGATTCTGTGAGGTGGGTAAGTTTGTGTGCCTGCGAGTGGGTCGAATCTGATGCACTGTGCAGCGAAGACTTCCCCCTTTCACTGTCAATGTTATTCATTTGAGCCGGGGTAGCTTTGCTGGAGTATAGATGTGCAAAACTAGACGGGGGTATAAATGGTAGGAGGTTTGGAGGGACATTGTGGGATCGACTTGACGGCCGGCCTCCCATTTTTTTAAAGAGTGCCTTTGAACTACGATAGTAATTGTCACCTGGATTGTATGTCAGTCTCAACCACGTGCTATACTGCAAAAGCGCCGATTCTTACTTGCAGCTATATAAAATTTAAGATGCTGATTAAATACATGAGGGTATTGAACTGACGCCAATGCAAATGATTTTATGACATCGTATGGTTCGCACATATCTCCATCGGAAATGAAACCTACCCACCTATTAAAATCATGGGTCTATTTTTCATATTCTCCAATTCGCCCATGCCAGCGTGCTTTTCCTTTTTTCGACTCACGGCCATACCAATGACTTCTAGCAACTCTCTCTCGTTAGAGGAGCTTCCTAGAGGGCTATGGGCATCTCCAAGAGCCTGTTTCCTACCCATTTCTATTTGCTTCATTGCCTCGAAAGCTTGCTCGTCGATTGGCTGGCTGCCATTTGATTTTCTCAAGATATCCCTCAAGGACACTTCAGCATTGCCAAATAAGCATACCTTTAAGTTGCCATCACTTGTGATTCTCAATCTGTTGCAAGTACCACAGAAATTGTGTGTCATACTTGTGATAAACCCCATCTTTCCTACAAATCCAGGAATCTCGTAAGTCTTACTTGTGTCATTTTTGTGATCTGCCACTTTTCGAAGTGTCGGATACTTCTGCCGTATGATATCAAGCATTTCTTTGTAGCTTAGCATTTTGCCTTGGCTCCACTTGTTGCCGTCAAATGGCATATACTCGATGAACCTAACTTCGACGTCTTTATCGCGGCCCATTTCGACAAATGGTATGATTTCTCTTTCATTGACCCCACGCATTACAACGCAATTGATCTTGAGTTTTATGCCAGCACCTAATTTGTTCATATGTAGTATCCTATCTATACTTTTCATCACAGCTTCAAAGCCCTTCCTTCGAGTCATAATCTGAAACTGCCATGGATCTAAGGTATCCAGACTTAAGTTGACTCCAGTCAAACCGGCTTCCACCATGCTATCCAGCTTTCTTGCAAGGTTTAGTCCATTTGTGGTCAGACAGAGCTCCCGTAAACCATGAGATCGCAAAGCTCCAACCTGTTGCATAAGAGGCAAGATATCGCGACGAACGGTCGGCTCACCACCAGTAAGACGGATCTTCGAAACCCCCTGGGAAACAAATATAGATGATAGAAGTACGATTTCTGGTGTTGTCAGAAGATCTGGCTGTGGCGATTGCGGAACCCCCTCTTCTGGCATACAGTATAAGCATCGCAGGTTGCATTTTTCTGTAATTGAAATTCGAAGATAATCGTGCTGTCTTTGGAACTTGTCGGTAAGAAAGGAGGAAAAAGGTTTGGCATTTTTCAGTTCGTCCCTTCTATTTGAAGTCTTGCTTAATGATGGCTCAGTGCCCTCGCGCAGAGGTGAATCGTGCCGAGGGAGCTCTTGAATTGAGGAAGCAGCAGTGGATAGTGCTTTGTGTGCGTTCCGAGATAGCAGGTTGAGCTTGCCATTTTTGAGTGTACTTTCTCGAAAAGCTCTTCTCAAGGGGAGCATCTTGGAAGAAAGGAGACGCTATATTAAAGATAGTCCGGAAAGAACAAGATGATGTGTTTAATCAAAGATATCTCTGGGCTTTCAATATCCGGTGGCGTAGAACAGTTGGAAGCTCTTCAATCATTTCGCTCATCAAGTAACCTTATACCAGTCTCCCTGAGTATTGAATAGTCTTGCTTCCTTATTGTCGCAGTGACACATCATCTCAATTATCAGGTTTTGCAAAGATTTTAGTCTGTCAAAATAGTCGAGACTCATATGGATTTGTAAAGACGAATTGTAACTGGAGGGGCAGCGGCCCTTTCCGTCCTTTCTCCGAGTTGCCGCACAATAGCCAAGCTGACTCATCAAAGCTTATCGTTATCGGCTCAACTAAATAATTTCACACGGGTATTGTGTGTGCGGGGCTTCTGCAGATCTCTATGAGTGCTACAGTAGGCGGCATTGAAAGTCAGATGCCAAAAGTGCACTCACCTCCATTCAATTCACAATGCGATTTTCTCGTCCTCTTAAATGTAAGTGTGAACTCAATTACTTCCATTTTGTAAGGCATATAATTAATACAAATATATATCTTAGCATCAAATCATTCTCTTCCGAGTCCCAATGGAGCATATATAGCGATTGTTCTGCCATCGGCACTTCAATTCAGAGAGACGCGTTCCCTTGAAATAATACGCTCCATATCACTTCCACCTGAACTCACAGCCTCAATAACATCATTCATATGGTCGTGCTCCTCCAACCGCCTACTTGTAGCGTCTGCGGATGTCATACGCATATTTTCCCCAAGTGACAATCGCTTCTCAGCCAAAATCACAAATCCGACCTCAGGAACTACGAAGACGACTTTCATTTCATTTGGAGGAAACGATAATGAAGTCTGTATCTTTTCAGAATTTGGTTTGAAGTTAACCATCTTCAATCTTGCTACTTCGAAGTCAGTGGATATCACCTCTCCCAAGCTGTTCACTCCTGCTACTGCCGCAAAAGGATTCTCACACCGTCCACAATCCGGAAACTTGGCTCTATTAACGAGAAATGGTGGCAAAGACGTGGTTAGTATACATAAATCGGGAAGCTTGGAGGTCATAAGATCATGGCTACCAGAAACGATTGACGCTCAAGAGATGGCTTGGAGCCCAGATGGAAAATGGATAACATTATGCGAATCTGCTAGCCAAGGCCACAGATTACTGCTTTATACAGCCGATGGTCACTTGTATAAGGTTTGGAATGGCCCGACCCCGATTCTCGAGGAAGAAAAGGATATCGCTTTAGGCGCCGGAATAAAAATGACTGAATGGAGCCCAACAGGAACACACATTGCTATTTGCGACTCTAGTCGAAGAGTTGTGTTGTTGGCTGCTCCAGCATTCTCAGAATCTATGGTGTTATCCCACATACCTTCTGTAAACCCTACAGATACGTTACACGTACGTCAAACTATCTCCTACCCCAAGAAAACGAACTCTAACTTCTCAGATTTGGATTGAACAATTTTCGCCATCTCCCAATGGTGGTTTCACTCGAGAATTCGTTCGAGGGAAACAGCCGACCTTACCTCCAGAAGCAACTGCCATTCCGACTGCAGAGCCAAAGACTGGCACTAATATGATGACTTTCGATATTTCTGGCACACTACTAGCGACTAAGGTTGAGGAAATGCCATCAGCAGTCTGGGTTTGGGATGTGGGGTCTCGATCACTTAGAGCACTGTTAATAATGCACGCTCCGGTAGCTAGGGTGACTTTTCATCCTAGTGTCAACGAACTTTTGATGATTAGATGTGAGGGTGAGGAAAACAAGGGCCGAGTTCAATTATGGGACCCATCTTGGGAGGCTCCAAGAATTGTTAATTTTGGAATGCAAATGCCCGAGGGTAAAATCATTGGAAAGTCGATCATCAAGTGGCTCAACGTAGCATCTGTATCTCCTTCCATTTTCTTTAGCGATTCGCAAGACTGCATTCTCTTATCATTGTCTAAGCTAGAGGATGCCGAAATGCTCCCTTGGCATGAATCGGAGGCGAGAGGAGTTGATATCTACGGTCAAACACAAGAGTCGCCCTTGAACCTCGTTGAAGGCGACGACAAGCGGCACTTTAAACGCGTGAACGCGGATGATATTGCTGACAATGATAACACATACATGGACATGAGCGATAGGAGCGAGGAGCTCGACGATACCTTTCATTTTCGCAAAACCTAACGTCCATTAGTCGCGGAGAGCGGTTTGATTGACATGCCATGCGATTTCGCAAAGGAGTATCCCCAGCTTACATTGAGGCTCCTGACCCCACAACTGTGTGGTGGGAAATGTAACAATCGAAAAGTTCGATGGGCTTTGTATGATTATCTCTACATGTGCATTCAAAGACCGTGAGTGGCCCACGTTTGTACGAGTTATGATATGATTTCTGAGCTTTCAGCACAAAGCTTGTTGATCATGAATTTTGTGCCCTTCTTCTGAGGGCTATGTTGCTACTCCATCATTAATCTATGGACGCCAGAAACAAAAGTGAAGCCACGAGAAAACAGTTCAATGGCATTCAAGGCTTTCGAGCCAAGAGAATTCTAAATCTGAACGAATGCATTGTCTGTATTCTCTCATCTACCCACTCAACCCCATGGTGTACTTACTCCACAGTGCGGCGAAGCAGATGACGAGTCTAGAATACGAATCAAACCCCCCTCCCCCCCCAAACTTTTGTGTTCATCTACGAGAAAGCTGTTGGTTGTGATCATCAGCACAAGATAGAGTTGGTCTAATCAATATCTGTCCAATATAACACTATACTAAACCCGAACCAGTAAGCCTTCCCGGGGGTCCAGATAATGGTCATGGATAAACGAATGTGTAGATGATTGGAAGTATGAAGTCTCTTCCACATTTTCCATAATGATTCTGGAAAAGTGGCTCGCTCACCCAAATGGATCTAGAGTGGGGATTATGTAACAAATATAAGTCCTTGAGTGGGGGAATTCGTTCTTCCCAAATCCACACACGATCTTCGAAAAATAAAGAAATCCATAATAATTATCTTCGTGCCAACAACAATATGGGAACCACAATGCACATGAAATAACAGATAGAAAATGATCATCATTCATTCGTTCAATGACAATCAACCATTAATTAATCTATCCGTTGTCAACTGTCCAAAAGAGACATTATATGAAATAGATCGTACCGTCATACATCATCCATCCACCATTCTCCGTACATCTACATCGTTGCCAATGATGGATCCTCGTTTCTCTCTTCATATGGATACCATACTTGAAAACGTCCAAATTCATCCTGCTTCTCCTGCTTCTCCTGCTCCTGCTCCTATCTACTCCCTGTCCTCTTGTCTCTTTACATCTTCCTCCCTAGACCTAGGTATACTTTCCAACTACTGCGTCTATACATGCTCGGGAACTTGGGGGGTACACCCACAGCGCTAAGAGCCAAGTAAATAAATAACTTGGCTGAGCCCGTCCTCATTGCTTTGCCCCCATTCAAGCTACCGCTCCACGAAAGTTGAATCCAAGATTATGTAGAAACCCTGCTTGAACCCCTGAAAAGACCCTTCAGACCGGGTTTTAGACTTTTGATGGGGACGCGGTACAATTTCCATGTCTTTTCGAACTTTATTGTCCATGGCATTGGTCCAAGTGTTGGCTACAAATTCACTTCTTTACGAGCTGCTTGCAATTATCTAATATGTTCCCCCTTCTCCTCCTCGTTGTCTACTCACTTCTTCCTCTCTAACTTCGCGCAAACTTGGATCCTCACTTGCATTTTTGGATCTTCTAACGGAAATGGCTTCTATAATGGAGAACGCTTCGATTGAGTCTGCAGCTGCAGTTGTCGTCAATCATCCCTATTACCCTCTTGAGATGGAAATAGCTAGTTATCTGGCAAATGAATGGACCGTACCGACTCTCCTAAGCATTTTCTTTAGTGCTTGTGCAGTATTGTTCTTGTGCACTCGCACTTTTGTTGCCAGATCATATCCTCATCTGCCAAGCACTGAGAGAGCTGCGATATGGTGGTTGGTTTTATGTAAGTCTTCCTTATCAACGGTATCACACAGTCTCCTAATCTTTCTTATAGCTGGCGCAATCCATCTCTTTTTCGAAGGTGTGCGATAACGAGTCAATTTACAACAGAAAGTGGCTAATCGCAGCTCTCCAGGATACTTTTCGCTCCATCATACCCAAATCATCAAAGACCAACAATTGTTGGGACAACTATGGAAGGAGTACGCCCTTAGCGATAGTCGATATTTGACATCGGATCCTTTTGTCCTCTGTATGGAAACAGTAACAGCGGTAAGTCGATTCCAAGCCCACTACATTAGACAGCATACTGATAAATTCCCTATAGTTTTTATGGGGACCTATGTGCTTTACCGTTGCGGCCTTTATCGCAACTGGCCATCCACTTCGACACCCCCTACAAATCATTGTGACTGTAGGACAAATCTATGGACTCGTTCTATACTATGCGACTCATACTTTTGATTATTATCACAAGGAAGTCAATTATTCTAGACCAGAATTTCTATACTTTTGGTTTTACTATTTCTTCATGAATTTTCTCTGGATGATCTTTCCAGGCAGTAAGTCAAACTCATTCCGCAGAAAGTGTCAGCGCTGACTGTGTTACTACAGTGCTCCTCGTCGATTCGGTACGTACTATCGCGCGAACCTTTACAGAGCTCGACCGGGTCAAGAGCACTCGAAAAGTCAATGGTTTTGCAAAGAAAGGCCAATAAATGCTGGGAGATTATGGCCGGAGACGGGTCAAGGAGACAGAATACCGATACGATACCCCATTTGTGATTAAAAGCGTGTCACCATCTGCTTTTGGAGAAACATAGATTTCCGAAACTACCCATAGATAGACAGATGTATGTAAGGCCGCAAAGGAATCAACTTAATGCAAGTTGAAGAAGAGTGCATTGGCGAAAGGAGTCTAGGAATCTGGCTGCAAATTTAGATTTTTCCGAATGATATAAGTGACCTACAATCATTCATATTGTTTCTCGTTACATATTATACCCAAGTCCTCATGTTTTTATACTAAGTGCACTGTCGTTAGTCAGGGGATCGGGAGATCAATATTCCAATGGCGAGACATGAGGAAAGAGCCAACAAATCACTCATGTTGCTTTACTCATGAAGATCATGTTATTTCTTTCAAACATGAGAGGGTGCTTCGGATACTCTAGTCACGCTATGGTTTCTCATCTGTATCACAGGACGACGTCTCAACACTTCTACTTGAACAAAACACTGACATCTCTAAAGCAAATCTTGCACCGAAGAACGTAGTTAAAAGTCTTTTGAATGAAATATTTTGATTACATTACAATTGTACGACATATTCAGAATGCAAGGCTTCAAACCGAGCAGTGCCTATTTTGATCCTCCAGAAACTCCACCTTCAACACGCAAGCCCTCAGAACCAAACGGCCGTGAGAAATATTCAAAGAAGTGTGCTTGGGTATTCCAACAGCCAAAACAAAACATTCAGTATCAATCACCACCCAGGCTCAAACCTTGAGGTAAGCAGCCAATTCTTCATTCATCACCATTATGCTACCAACGCTGACATGCTTGTCGAGCTTCTGGCTCAAGATGCTTACTCTCTTTTGTGTAAGTTTCGAAATGAAGAGAGGCGGAGGTCCTACATGCTTTTTATCGAATGTTCTTGGTGAGAATAATGGATCGGGTAAGATCCCTCCTGCTATCAAATCCTCTTCGTATATACTCACAGAGTATGTACTAACTGGTCTTGGCTTGTGCAATTGTTCAAAAGCAAATGGCTGTTCTAGTGATTCAGCTTCTGAATAGACCGAAGATATTGAACCTCGACGATCATCAGATGTAAATGAACCACTCGTTCTAGGCGAATCAACATCAGAAGACTCAAAACTCATCCCTTCATGATCGTGTGAGGAACGAGACCATTGCGATGATGCGTCGATCGATGAAGTGGTGGACGATGATTGATTTCTGTAGGAATCGTATTCTTCCTTGGTAGCGTTTGTTATTGGAACATCGGCAAGGCCGTCCTCCAATCCATAACCATGTCCCTCAATCAAAATTTCATGGTGTGCATTTCTTCGTGGACTAGGATGCTGAAGTTCCGGCATTATCGTCAGGGCATTACCAGCATTGACTTTTTCAATTATTTTCTTGGTTGATAATGTGGTGTCGAGAGCACTTTCGTTCCTTCGCGACAGAACTGATTGCTTTCTTTGGGCGAGATAATCATTGAAAGCGGCTATGACATCAATTGGTGTTTGTCCAGCACTGGAAGGGTTCGACCTAATTAGGGAGTTTCGGTAGTCTCTGTTTGCTTGAGCACTTTGCGTGCGAATCAAATTATAACACGAACGCCGGTCATTCCACGGTGGACATTCTCCAATGCGAATGGAAATATTATAAGCTACATTCTGGGTAGCGCGCACTTGATTTGGTACTTTCGTTGCTTGAATAAGTATTTGAAGAGAAGAATAAATCACAATCCAACGAATCTTGCGGCCTTCCGCCTGGGAGATCTTTTCCGCTGCTGTCATTTTGGACTCGGCTTGGGTGGCACATTCTTTCTCAAAGCCCCGGTAAGCACGAACAAGCGTACACTCAGTGAGCCGTAGATTCTGTCGATTTGTGGCCTTGTCGAGAGCGTTCATTGAATCCATGCTTGAATCATTGTGAGTTTTATCACTCTTGGGAAATATTTTTGTCGTAAAGGTCAATCGTTTGCTCAATGGTTTGGTAGATGGTTTCGCATTATCATCTGGAAGCAGTGGTAGAGAAAAGGGCAATGGTTCGATCTGATATCTCCTGTCGAATGCCATGACTGCATGCAACACATCTAGTTCTTCCTCACTAGCGCTTGTATTCCCTGTTGTCGCCACAGTAGAGTCTGCGAGAAACTCATACAATTTTTCAAATTCGGATCGCATTTGCTTGAAGAGACTCTTGGAGAAAGCTCCGCTTCCTGATCTCGATGCCAAGGATGGATATGATCCAAGCTTTGCAGTATAGTATCTCTGGAGAAATGCTCTAAATTTTTCGAGGTGAATTTGAGCATCGGGGCTCAGCTGCAAACATGTGTCGGCAAGTTCTTCCGTGAGAAATCCGCTCAGCATTTTTCCACATGTATCGAGTCGAAGGTCCATTTCCAGTCTTGCTCGAGATATGAAAACTCGATCTTGTCGACTCAATGACTATGCAGGAATTAAATACTGTGTCTTCAGGCATAAGTTATGATGATATATACATACCTCGAAACCAGGACTATTGTGGAGTTTCTCGCACATCCCAGCACAATGTGCAAGTGCATCTATCCACATATCTTTGAAATGGAAATGCTCTGCAAAATACATAATTCCAAGGGCATGATCCGGTGTATTCCTCATATCTGCGTATCCCTCTCCGTCGATATAGGCTACGATATCATCCACGTTGTTGGCATCAGTCGATCTGAACTGAGACATACTATTGAGAAGTCCAACCAATGCACTGCCTAAATCCTGTCCGACTAACGACTTCTTGAAAACCCACGCAAAGAAGTTTCTGGTCGCGGCGTGGTAGAGGAAAGCCTCTCCTCGTTCTGCCATGATAGGAGCTGGAATGTATAGCTCAACGTAATCAGAATCACTGGCACCCGAGAAATATTCATCCAGAGCCTCGCTAACGTCTGAGAGTGGCGAGCCGTTAATATCTTTCGACATAAATGCATCCAAAAGTGGTTGGCATTTCGCGTCAACCAGGACATTCAATGGTACCCGAAATGCTGGACCTCTCATCGATTGTCCTCGGCCATACAAATAAACCAGGCAATCTCCTTCAGGGTACCATAATTCGGGATCCTAAACAATGTCGTCAGAATGTTGCTGATCAAGAGCTACAATAACAGACATACCCTCCTCAACCCATCCCACTCGATTGACCTCCGCGACTTTCCATCCCACTTTCTGATACCCATACCGTTTGCCGTTAACATGTTCATACTAGATTTGTTTCTTCGATGTGTATTTGTTTCCGGACCCAGTGGCCAGTTTTCTTTGGGTGAAGCTGGAGGGTCGTCTGTAGGTATATATTCCTCATTTATGGAAGTCATGCCATACATCTTTAGATCATTTTTTGGAATCACGGGTATGGAAGATAGATATGGCATCCCAGAAATTGAAAAAGCCATATGGAGAATATTACGATCAAGATCTTCCACCTAAATGACGAAAGCGATCTTCAGTGGCTTAGTAGGGTCAAGTTGGGGGTTCTACCCAAAAGTCTCAATGATTCTTAGGATAGGCGTATTGTGTAGGGTGGAGAAACATGTCAAATGAATCATAAGATTTGAAAAGAAAGCTCAATTCCAGATTAGAGCAAAATTAAAATGGAAGAAAGGAAGATGGTGAGTGTTTTCTTCGATATCTTTACGACAAAGAAAAGTTTCGGAGATCCATACGAGGGGGACGCGAGAGTCAATATGAATAACTTTGTTTATGGTCTGACAGACCACCAGTTGTAATACGAGATGGATCCTGCCGTGCTACGAGCATCCGTAATTTTAATTTTCTGCACATTCTGAATTTCTCGCCACGTAGAGTGAAGCTTCACGGGCTTTGTAGACAGTGAACATTCGTGCATGGCTTGCATGGACATGAGTTTTCGAGGGGTTGAGATGGGATAATTCCATGGTCACGGCCCCCCCCGCTTTAAAGTTTTGACCTAAAGCGAGGCTTGAGATGCTATTAGCATGGTTGATTTGTAAGCACAGACTCGAAATATATATCATTGGTCGAGTTTCTTTTTCTGATTGATGCATGTTTTTGTACATGCATTTGGGTTTCGCTTCATCGTTGATGGGATGGTTTTGATATCATATGGATACAAGTTGATTTGGATCTAAAGGCGTTCAAAACCTGAATGCGTCACTGCATTTCGTTCTGCAAAGTATCAACTACTCTATTAATGAAATCTTGAGTATTATCTGGAACTATCTAAACGGAATCTTCGCTGCTACCAAATTGACAATGCATCTAATGGGAACAAAGTGTCTGCGGATTCTAGCAAGCTTGAGTACCAGTATTTGCCAGTGCAAACCTAGCTCAAAGACTCAAGTTGACAAGTTCGGTGGCTTCGGCGCCGACGGGAAAGGGACCAAGCGGTTCTCGGGATATCACATAGCGTGATTTCTTGTGCTTAGACGCACCTTTTCGCTATTTAATCTTGAGATTAAGTAGGCCTCGGGATCGGAAATTAAGAATCTTAAATCTGAACAATATTCAAATCAAGGATACACCCGATGCGCAAGATCTCTCTGTCGCAGAGTTGAAGTACATGCAATGGATTGTTGAATAGTAGGCGTACATAATAGAGGATCCGAAGTGTCACTGAGCAGGGGATTTATGTGGTTGCTCGAGAAACTACAAGAACATTTCAATAAGAATTAATATCGATATCTCACAGCCACCGAAAGAGTCAAGCTCATGTGTACCGGTAATCACATTGATATCCGCAGATAAGTTGATCTCCAAACTTGGGCTTCTTTACAACAAGCCTCCAGATGACGCCGCTCCAATACCCCTCTCCCTTTCTCCATCTTCCATATGATGCCTCCACGCGATCTTGGTCTCTGTTTCTCAGTGTAATGACGAGTATCAATTGTTTCACATTGTGAGATATATCTCTTTTCTTTTTCTGTTAAGACCGTGACGCAATGATCAACACTTTTGAATCAAGTCGGCAAGCATAATTCAAAGTCCGGTGAGGTTAATGATCGGCAACTAGTGTCATTTCTACTTTAGTGACAAATGTTTTAGGGATAAAATGCTGTGGGGAGTGTGGGTTTGATAGGACCCTGAATTGGAGATGAATGAAATTGGGGATCTGATTTGACGCGTCGAAATCTTCATCTTGATCGAATTATGAGATACTTCTAACTAGATTTGTTTTTGGAGCCTCATTGGATAGAAAATCACCCTTGGGATAACGGATGTTGACATGCACCGCTTTGACATTTTGTCTCTTGTTTTCTGTGACTCCTGGTGGTTTATGCATTATCACCACTGCTATCGCCACCATAGCTTTCCCTCGAATTTCTGTCCATTCGCCTACCATACACACCTCCATGCGTTCTTCATTGCCCAATCTTGTCTTTCATTCGCTTGCATCCACTTGTGTCTACCCTGCCGTCCTCACAATCATCAGGTCTGTGCTGTAGAATTTCATATTACCAAGCTGCATATAAGCTCTCTCGCAATCTATCATTCGTCAAAGCGAGGCTTAGAGGTAGCGAGTAGAGTTGTTTCACCATTGATATACGATGGAGAATCGGATGATTGCGATCTAGGATGGTTTATCGAAAGTTTGTACTGGGAATCGGTATGTTTATGGAAGGGGGAGTAGTTTCTTGGGGATATTTATAGATGTTTAGTCGGAGATGAAATTTGAGCGATTTTTGAAAGGGTGTCGAGAGGGGATGGATGGTGCTTGGTGCTTGGGTTTTTGTTGGTTAAGGGAGGGGAGTGGAGTTGGTTTTGGGAGGTGATGGGAGTTTGTGGTGGAGGTGGAGGGAACGGAGGGCGAGGGAGGAGGGAGGAGGGAGGAGGGGATGAGAGAAAGAAGGAAGTTGTGATGGGTAGATGGGTGGATTTGAGGATATTGTATATATATATATACATACATAATGATAAGACTAATAATCGCATACCAGCTCGAGTTATTCAGGAAGCAAAGTTGAGTACTAGTACAGTCTTCGAATATTGACTGCTACACTATATTGTCTCATCGTGTTCTTGACTATCTACCGTATTCTTTTGAAAAAATTGGCCATACGCTAGCAAGGATAAATTATTTAAGCTCATCGTGGGTTAGGGGGTTGCGGAAACCACCAGAGTTGTTTGATTCGCTCAATCAATGGATTATTCATCAAACACCTTGAATTTCTGCCGAATTCTTCTATTTTGAGGCGTTTCACTCCCTTTATTAGAGGGGAGCTAATTGACCCTATCGTTTCCCATCTTATACCTCACACGAGCACATACCGCTCTATGTCATTCAAAAACCAATGCTCTATTCATATCCCACACAAACTCTAATAAATCTCATAAACCCCAATAAATCCCATCACCATATCAAATGTCAAATACTAAATAGATATTCTAACCTTTAGTATTCAATGTAAGAGATTCTAAATATTTAGATATATACATACATATCAAGCGACGCCAGAGTTAAGTTTTTGTCACTATTATTATTGTTTTGATGATTTGTAGCTTGGGATGAGATACGATGCTATGCAATGTGATACGGTTCTTGTTGTTGTGTATGCATGCGTAGAATACATGATGTACTGGGGAGTTATATTTGGGATTTGAATTTGGATTGGGATTTGAATTTGAATTCAATGTGGATATATTCACATGTCTGTATGTGGATGTGGACAGATAGTTTCCTCATTTTCCATTTACCTTTCCAGAGCTTCACTTCTTTACTTCGCTTTGGAACGGATCTGTTATTTAGGGTTTGAGGGTTGCGATTGTGGTGTTGATATAGTATGGTATCTCCTGGGCGTGGGAAAGGAGAGGTGCGAGGGTGTGTATGGGAGAGTGAGGGAGAATGATAGATGAGGGAGAGAGATAGGAGGTAGAAGTGAGAGAGGAATATAGTATCTGGATGGGAGGTAAGAGGTGACGGGTGGATAGAAGAGGGAACTAAGAGAGGAATATAGAATGATTATAGGAGGGAGATATAGAAGAAGAATACAGAAGAAGAACACAGAAGGGAATGTACCCTAATATACCCTAACATTTTATTATTTTAAAGTTAGAAGAAAGGAGAAGAGAGAAAGAAGAGGGACATATTCTATTATTTTATTAATTCAAGAGGGAAAGGGAAGAGAGTATGATAGATGAAATGAGAAGTATATTAAAAAAAGAGTGTGAGGGAGAAAAGGGAACGAGAGAAGAGGGACAAAATAAAAAGCAAGGCAGAGAATAGGAAGGGTAAAGGAAAAAGGGGAGTAAGAGAGAGAGGAGAGTGAGGAAAGGAGATGAAGAGTGAGGAATTCTTTCAAGGATGAACAAGAGGAGAGATACTGAGGGAATACTATGTCATTATGTATAATAGCGAAGAGGGTGGATGACTTTTATAGAAGTTGTCAGTAATGTAATATTGTAAGCTGTCATTACTATTGTTAGTGTGATCGCACCATCATATATACTATTATCAAATGAGGGAGCTGAAAAATGAATCTGTATATAAACTCTGGAGTTGTGTTGAATTTATTCAATATAGAATAATCTCTTTAAGTTTACTCTACAGGTTTTGTTTCTTCAACACTACTCTTCGTATTTCCCTCCAAAATTTTCCCTCCTCTACCGCCACCTCTTCCACCCCTCCCTTCCTTTCCTCTTCCTCTTCCCCCACCCCTTCCACCTCTACCTCTACCTCCACCTTCACCTCCCCTCCCACCCTTCCCCATCGGAGCATTCCTATTCCTCAACCCCTCCTCCAAATCCGCCACCTTCACTCCATCCTCCCACAACAAACCCCCCTCCCTCCTCCCCACAACCTTCTTCCAAAACCTCGTTCCCACCACCCCTTCTTCATCCCCCTCCGTCAAAACCACCCCATTCTCACTAACCCACCACTTCATCTGCGGTTCCTCCTCCAAACACCTCTTCACATCCACATAAATCAACACCTCCGCATCTCCTCTCATTCCACTCACTACTCCCCCATCTTCTGGAATACCCGTTCCAAAATGTACATGATTCCTTCCCATCTTCTTCAATCCTCCACTTTTTAAAATCTCCTCGTAAAAAGCAAAATATGTCCCATGCACACATATTTCCGGTACATTCCCCGCTTCGAGCGTGATGGGGACCAGTAGCGCCGCGGAATCAATCGCGATGGAATGACCCTGATTAGCACGGATCATCCAATCTTCTGGATTTTCAGAAGAAGGAGAAGGCGGTTCTGGAAGCGATGGATTGGGTTTCATAGAGAAACGCTGTTTGGCATTATTGGTGACGGCGGTGCGGATATCGGCAAAGGTCGGTTTGAGAGATTTGAGACGAGGCCATTGCATCTGTGAGAGTTGTGAGCTGTTGGGTTCATTGAAAATATGTGTGATATGATATGTTAATGGAAAATGAGTATGTCCACGTGATTCCCTTCGTCTTCTCTCATTCTTCTCATACACCCATCCATACTATATACATTCCAATTCCCCCCTTCAACCCTTCCTAACAACCTCTCCCCCCAATAGCCAGCCAACCAAGTAACCAAACCACAAGTAAAAGAACACAAGAACTAAAAAAAAGAAGAAAAGAAAAAAACTCACCACCAAATCCAACCTCGCAAACCCCTCTCCATCCAACTTCACCCCCTCACTCTCCGCCGCATGTCTCAACAACTTCGACAACGCCTTACTAATAAGCATTTCTCTATTTTTTTCATTGCCACCCCGGTCACCACCACTACCACCAGCAGCTCTTCCCTTTCCTCTCCCTCCCCGTCCTCCTTTTCCACCCCTCGCATTCCCACCTCCCATATCCACAGTATCTCCTTCTCCCGCCAACCTCGCCGTATCCAGTGCACTTATATTTTCCATGGCTGTGAGATTCTCTCTTTCCCCTCTCTTATGTCTCTCTCTCACTCCCTCTCTACCTCTATCTCTTTCTCTCTGGGAAACCGTATGCGTATAAACCCCAATAACTCCACGATCACGCACCCCAAAATCAAGACCAAGATCACAAGATTTATTTCTTATCTGACTCCGATTTTGATTCTTCAACCCAGTCTTCCCCGCTTCAGAGCACCTATCTTTCTCTCCGTGAATTCCTTTCCCAATTCCCAAGGTCCTAGAAATCTTGACGCGCAGAAAAGACTTGTACATCAATTATTTTCAAGGCGTGAGTTGAGTAAGGTAAAGAAAGGTCATGGATTGGTGAAAAGGCTGTGTGCATGTAGTGGGGTAAATTTATGTAGGTAGAAATAGATGGGTTCGCTTACCAACGGAAGGTAGGCATACAATAGTAAGAAGGAAGGAGGGGAAGAGTCATCGGCGAGGTGAGATGGGATGAGATTGATGTGATTTGATTTGATTATATTGGTATTTATGATTCAATAGATTTAGAGAGTGTAATATTTTTGAAGTGAATACTATCGATTAGACAAGGTTTATCCATTTGGGTTGATCTTAAGATGATTTATCTATAGGCTTTGTTTCATTATCAAAATATATGCACAATGAATCCTATCTCACCATCACAATCACCATTTAAAAAGCAATACTACAATACTATCAACATAATGTCTTGACCAAAAAAAAAGCCTCTCTCTACATTTATTTATCGCTAGTGAATAAAAATATAATACATTCATAAATGGACACCTATCACCTATCACCTCCAATCCCAGACTCCCAGTCCACCTGGATCCATCTCCTTATATGCCAAAGTGGAATTCCAATCGAATAGCCATATCCAGCAACAATTCAAAGTGATTGTATAAACACATAAAGCAAGCAACCAAAAAATTCCGCAAGCCTAGGCTGAAAAAGCCGCACGCCCAAGACAAGCAGCAATATGTACCTAGAGAGTATGCCCTCAACCCTCTCGCTGATATGTAATCCTCAAACCCCTCTCTCTAATCGTGCCATCGTATGTACCCAGGGTATCTTGAAAAAATGTTTCTCTCCCTATGGTGATAAAATCAAAAATAATGTAAGAAATCCTCCCCCTAATAATCCTGTTCGCAAAAGCGTTGAAAAGAAACCGTAAAGAACTCCAAATTTTCTTTGTACAAATGAGAACATAAATGAAATCTATTGATAAGCACCATGTTGCGAAGGACCCAATGGTTCCCTACTTCTCATAAGGCTACCAGCTCTGCTTCTGGCGGCAAAAGTCAAAGGGGCAGAAACCTTTCTTTGCCCACGTTCTTCTGCCAATCTTCCTGAAAGGCTTGTAGTGTCTCTCTCTGGAGTTCGCTCAAGATATCTTCGGCCACTGCCACCCGTGCTTGAGTTTATAATAATTTCCCTTTCTGGTGTTCGTTCATAATATCTTCTGCTGGGGGTCGATTGGGTAAGTAAAGAAGATTGTGGTACCCTATTAGGACTGAGGGCTGTAGTATGAGATCTCCTGAGTGCTAATGATGACGAGATTGCGCCAGATCTAGGATCGTCGTCGGGTAGGGGATGTCGTGATAATTCGTCTCGTGGAATCTCCCCCCTGCGTCCAAGTTCTGTCTTGGCCCTTGAAGGTGCTCGAAATCGGGCCTCAACAGTTTCTTGAGGATCTTCGGTTTCAGCGCGTCGGTTACGAAGTAATAAAGATGTGCGACGTCCTGCAGCTAAACTTTGTGGTGTTGTATTCTCAGGTGGTGGATATCTTAGGGTTGGCAACGCAGTTGTTGCGAGAAGGCTGCTTCGTCGGGCTTCGAGACGACTATAGGATCTTGGGCTTGCTTTTAACCTTGCTACGTCACCAGAAGGCAGTTGCCTTGGACTGACAGGCTCGATACTCTGTTGAACTTCAGTATCTTGACCATGACTATTTTGTCGGATCTGTGTAAGTGTAGTATCGGGATCGTTTGATCTTCTTTCCGACAATGAAAGACAAAGCTCCGTTAAGCTGCGACACAGACTGTCTGCTTTCCGACGAACTTGTCGATCAGAAATGTTAGATTGTGGTCCACCAATGACTGATTGGGAACTTGATATAGGGCCAGGTTGACCAGAAGTTCCCATCATAGCAGAGATTGCCAAGGCATCATTTGCTGAAGCCTCCAAAGACTTGTAAATTTCGGGATCCAATAAAGGCTTAGAATTCATTAATGCAGACCGTAGGAGAGGATGATTTTCCGCTTTAGACATATCCACAGTAGGAGCTTCAGTAGGTGATATGCTGTTACCTCGTCCACGTTTAGGTGATGTTGACATGGTAGTTTCCGTTGTGGTTGCAGTTGGAGGACGCTCATGGGTGGCTCGCGAGACTGCTGCACCAGATGTGGTAGGCAATTTCCCCGTCAATTCCAATCTGTGTATGCGCGATTTTAGATCATCTAATTCGTCCCAAACGGTTGAAGGTGCAGTGGTGGACACGGTCGATGCAGTGCCTTCTGTTACACGCTGTGTTTCATGTTGATCGCTGATCTCCATCGGTTGCGCAACAAGTGGAGAAGAATGATAAGCAGTGGTTCGGGGAACGGAATACGAATTGGACAAGTTTGATTGTCGGTATGCAGTGATTGTTCGGTCCTGTATAGATGGCCTTCGTCCAGCATATGGTTGTGGTTCGGAATCGGCTTCTCGGTTATTTGTTCGTGGAGTTGTAGGGGTCGACAGCGATGTGGCTGCAAATGGTCGCTTCCTTTGCTCGTTCGAAGTCGAGATCGCTGAAGGAGGCCCTCTCCTTACGAATGAATTATCCCCTGATAGTCGTGGTAAACTTTCCGCGTCCTCTGCGTAACGAATTGTAGGGGCTGTTTCTTGCTCAGGTTCACGACGAAGATATGAAGCACGAAAGATAGGAGCAGGGAGAGATTGGCGCATGCCAATACGAGACTATTGATGAGTTAGATATCTCAAGCCCGTCATGGTAACTATACTGATGCGAGCTGGAATCGCAAAGATAGGAAAAGATAAGAATATAATTACCTTTTTGGAATCTAATCTACTCAAGGTTGGAAGGTTCTTTTGGCGATTCAAATCATCTTCCTCTTGCGCAACCTGTAAGAATAAATCCGCTTCATCGGAGTTTCGTTCGTCTGGTGAATCTCTCCGAGGATTCCGCCCCTCTAAACTCCTCAATGCAGATTCCCTCTCAGCTAGATCTGGTTCCATTCTTTTGTTGATTGTGATACCCCTTGGCGGTAAGGCTACAGGTCGTGATGGTTTATTCTCCAATGATATTTGAGGTGCATAAGATGTTGAAGGAGAGGGAGATTGATCCAAATGAGATTGATCCGCAATCCAATTTGTTGTTTGTGAGATATATGATGCGCCTTGGGATAACATGGTCGGAGTAGTTTCTTTTGCGACTTCAGCCGTTATTCCATTCTTTCCATTGGCGTTCGTTAACACGTTCCTTGCTTTTTTCTCAGAGGTGCCAATCCCTGAAGTTGTTTCGTGTTGAAGTTTGGTGGAAGTAATAGTCGTGGCTGAAGGTTTGTTTGGCGTTGGCGTAGGATAAGATAATGTTCGACGCGATGATGCTGATTTAGGTGAAGCTGCTCTGACCGGACTGCCAGTGAATGAACTCAATATTCGGGTACGAAATGGTTCTTTCTTATTATTATTACTATTCTGATTTGTTGGACTAAAGGGGGTCGCAATAGTCGAATGGTTTCCCGTGAATTTTAAATCAAAACTAGAAGATTTAAGTTTCAGATTTAGATGACTATGATTATGGTTGCTGTTTTTGTTGCTTAGCTGCTCAGCACCACCACCTGCGGGATTCATGTTGGGATTTGGATTGGGATTGGAATTGATATTGGTATTGGTATTGGTATTGGGATTTGTGGTGAGAGTAGAAGTAGAAGTAGAAGTATTTCCAACCGCCGCCATACAGGACTCAGCTGATGGTTGTGATAATGTTGAACGATGATATGGTTTGGTTTTGGATGCGGTTGGTATTTGTGTGACTATCTCGGGCGCATCATGTACTCTGGGGAGTTTGGAGGAGTTATGAACGACTCTATGGGAATGAAATGACAGAGGTCTGGGTTTTGACTTTGTGGTAGTAGTAGTAGTAGTTGGTGACTGCGGGACTTGTGACATCTTGAATAAAAATAGGTCAACATATCAAGTCCAAGCGAGCAGAGGGGAGAGAGAAATAAAAAGGAATAAAAATGGATGTATGTGTGTATGTGTGTGAATGTCACTCACTCACTGTCAATGTCAATGTCAGTGTTAAAATGTGAAAGAGGAAAGGAAAAAATAAAATCACACAACCAGGTTCCTCTCACATCTTCTGCTTAGGTTCACACTTGTCAGGTTCCGTCGTCCCAGGAGATCTGAGCACCACTGGGTAAAGGGTAAAATGGTAGGGTAGCTATGCTCGCTCCTAATGCACAAAGTAGCTGCATCCATTGCTCCATTGATCCATACCCGCAGTATCAAGATTTAATAACGAGGAGGTGGAGAGCTGGGCCCCATAACCAAAAAAGTAAATAAATATGCGAATGGTATTGGATAGACGAGAATAATTGGAGAATTGATAACGGATTCATGTATCCTGTGAGATTGCTTTTCTTACTTGACAATGGTGTATATATACTTAACTACATGTACATTCACACATACATACATATATATATATACACACACTCACACACACATACACATGCACACACACACAACGAATTTCTTATGAAGAGAATGAATATATACAATACGAGCAAAGAGAATACACAACGAGAACGTCTACATCTATGTATTCGGCTGTGTGGTTGGTTTCCTCTATCCATATCTGTAACGACTGCTTCTCTACTCAGGTACTTGGTGCACCTTCGTATATTTCTTTTATCTACGAATGCTTGTTTCCTTTATGACAGTTCTCACGTTTCCTCTCGGGATTTCATTGTGTTTCAATCAATCAATCATACACACTCATTAATCGCGTCGAAGGTTTTTGCGGTGCTGCATCGCATAAATGGCCCTGTCAAAATGCAATCCACCGTAATTTCCATCTCAGCACTCGCATTAGGGCTTCCGACACCTTCACATCCTTTTTGTAGCGACTTTTGCGCTGGATATGATTTTGGATTTTTATTTTTATTTTTACAGAGGATGGGTAGATCTCTCCCCCTTTCTCTCTTCCTCATGGATGAACATTTAACATCCCAGCTGATTCCTAGAAATTGGTAGCCCTACCTAGACATCCCCCTATA